GCAGGGTGAAGCCCTACTGGGGTGAGGGGGTAGAGTCAGGTATGGTCGTCCCACGGGGCTGGCATCGCAGGAGGGGCATATCTGGGGCATATCGGGGGCCGGGGCCTGAGCAGATGGGCGGCCTCCTCCAGCTGTCCATGAGTGACCTAGGGCAGGGCCTAGTGGCCAAAGGCTATTTCTAAAAAGTCCCACCTGCCCTGAGGGGTGTCTTACTGTACCTGGTAGCTGAAGGCCATCCCCCTTCTTCACACCTGTGTGATGATTTTTGAGATATGTTAATGAAGGAGAAGCCACACGGCCTCATCCGCACACGTGCCCACACTCATACACGCATACGCACACACGTGGCCACACACCGGGGCCATCCGGAAGTGGGAACTCACAGACGGGGAGCTTCTAAGCAGTGTCCCAGTGGGCATGGCAGGGTGGAAGGCAGAGGGGCCCAGGCCTTGAGCTGCTGGGCCGTCTCCCTGGCTTGCTCTGCCACGTGCTCTCTGCACCCCACCTTTCCTCTCCGCATCGGGCCTTGGTCTCTGACACCTCCGTCTCGCTGGGGTGCAGGTGCCCAACATGAGGGACCCAGAAGCACACTCGTCATCCTACTGCCATGTTCAAAAACATGGGCCTAGCCTGTGGGAGCTGCTGACTGTGCCTGCCTGTCACCCGGTCCCCGTGAGGACAAGGACGTCGGAATAGGCTGCTGCATCCTGCCCAGCTGCTGGCCACCCGGCCACAGATTCGAAGTCAGTGTGTGGACACTGCCCTGACGCACTCAGGGACTCCCGTCCAGGACTCTCCCCTCCATTTCCACCCAGCCTGCCTGTTCACTCCAGCTTCTAGAATCCCCAGGCCGCAGCTCAACTCCTTGCTCCTGCTTAGAGAGGCAGCTAGAGCTTCAGGGGGAGTCACGAGAAAATGGGTTTAGCCCTCAGGAACAGGACTTCTTTGACCCTGACCCAGGCTCTGTGCATGATCAACTTCTGAGACTGGGGGAGCAGGCTGCTGCAGCACTCAGAGAGAGGCCACTGGTCCTTTTCTCTTCCCTCTCCCCAGACTTCAGAAGTTCTGGAAGTTAGAGATCCTCCCCTGGAGCTTGGGGAAGGAGATGAAAGACTGAAAATGTGAAAGAGGGTCTGTCCCTGATAGCTCATGTGGGCCAGGTAAGGAGCCGGCTGTGTGAGGCCAGAAGCCTGGGCTTTTGGACTTGGGCCTGGCCTGGTGGGATCTGGCTTCCTGTGCGGGCATCACTTTCTCTGTCCATGGAGGCACTTTCAGCCTGGGCTGCCAGCCTGCTGGGATGAGGGGAGCCCAGTAAAGAAGACATCTTATTTCAACGGGGCAGAGCCAAGACTTGGGCCAAGGGGCAACTCCAGAGGCTGTAGAGAGAACTCATGGTGGGGATGTGGAGCCACACATTAGGCCACTGTCCCCAGAACGTTGTTGGCACATGTCTGGGATGAGTCTAAGTCAGGCCAGTTTTTCAGTTCTTCTCAGCGGAGTTGACAAGAGTGGAAAGGATGTACGTGGGGATTTCTATTCAATACTGTGATGATGATAGGACCAGTCCATGCTGGCTGGTTCTGGCTCTTGAGGATGAAAACTTAGCATCCTTGGCCTGGCCCGGAGGGGAAGGAGGGGACTCTATGACATGACTGGACAAGACAGAGACTGGGACAAGACCCTGGAAATGGAACAGACGGAACCCACCAGGTCCTGGCAGGGCCTAGAGGATGCAGGAGGCAGCTGTTGACACAAGGTGTGGACATAGAAGACACTCAATAACCGTTTTGTTGAGTGAGTGAATGAACAACAACAAAAAATGTGGCCTTAAGAGCTCCTCTCCAGGTCTTCACAGGGGTTGGGCCTACCTTTTTTGTCTTTCTTCTCTTCCTCTTCACCACCAGCTCCCAGCAGAGTAAAGATGATGCCGGTCTGAGAGTTCACACCCACAGCGGTCACCACCATCCGTCCTGAGCCCTCCATCACGTGGGTCCCTGGCGAAGGAGACAAAAGCCAAGTTACCATTGCACAGGCAAAGTCCCCTCCTCAAAGGTGAGGAAGGAGTGAGGTCTCAGCTCCTGGCACTGTGCCTGCTGAGGTTGTGGGACACCACCTATAGCTGAGGTTTTCATCGTGTGTGTGTGTGTGTGTGTGTGTGTGTGCACGTGTGTGTGTGGTGGGTCCTTCTAAAATGGTCTCAGGACTGGGCTGGACCTGGGGCTGAAACACTGCTACCCCTCAGTTCTCAAGCCTCCAAATAGTTCCAGGCACAATGTGTACTGCCCTTCCCTGAAGGTGTATCTTCTCCCCGTCTCCCTCTCCCTTCTCCTCTCCCACCCTTACAGGTCAAGCAGGGACCACTCATTATATGTATGTATGTATACATGTATGTATGGTTTTTGCCATTGGGCACATACACTTGTTGGAGAGACAGAGCCAGTGAAAGGGGAAGTGAGAAATCATTCCCCAGGGGAGATGGCCACACCACAATCCCTTCTCTTCTATTCTCCTCCTGGGATTTTGGGTGTGCATATGCACATACCCAGCGGGACTTTTGAGCCACTGTGGGAGTCTGGCACCTTAACCACCATGCCACCTGCTGGCCCTTTCCTTATTTATTTTTTAAATTTTATTTTATTTCTTCTATGAGTGAGAGGAAGAGAGATCCATAGAAACAGAGGGAGAGGGAGGGAGGAGGGGAGAGAGAAACCCTCAGCAGGGTCCCCATGCTGCGATCGACCCCAGCTTCAGCCAGCCGGAATCACAGCACATGTGCATGTGGCTGGTGTGTACAGGGAGGCCTCTGGATGTGAACCCAGGACCTTCCCATGTGAGTCCAGGATGGCAGGGCTCTGCATCACTGCTCTGCCACTGACGACTGTCTCTCTTTTCCTTGTGTATAGCGTTTCTAACCAGACCCAGTCTGCTTAATGATGGAACCAATAAAAAAGTACCAACTAAGCCCTAGACAAGACCACTTAAAATGGTGCCCAGCCCCAACCCTCCCACAAAAGGATCTGTGGAAATAATTCAGGGGTCTTTGAGCTGGATGAGAAAACAATGACATCTTTATTTTTGTAAGCCTCTAACTGAAAGTTAGCATCTGCCCCATTAGAATGAAGGCAATAAAACCTGGGAGTGTTTGTGGTGACCACGACACGACCCAAATCACAGGTTTTTCCACATCACTTTACAGTTGCTGTGGCTGTTTTATAGTCAAGATGATTTTTCACCTGTTTGCTAGACCTTTTTTTAAAATTTAACTTTTTAATTTAATTTAATTTTAATCGAGAGGGACAGAGCGAGTGAGCAAGCAAGAGAGAGAAAGAGAAAGAGAAAGAGAAAGAGAAAGAGCAAGTTGCCAGGTCTGGGACTCAAACTGTGGTCAGCCATGTGGGAGTCCAGTTCCCTTAACCACTATGCCACCTGCCAGAGTGTCCTCCCACCCCTTTTTAAAGAATTATCTACTTAGGGACCAGCAGATGGCATAATGGTTACATCATTGGACTCCCATGTGGCTGACTGTGGTTTGAGTCCCGGTTGCAGCACCTTAAAACTCAGGCTGGGTGTGTGTGCATACATGCCCAAGATCCTGAGAGAAGAATGGAGGAGAAGGGATTGACCATCCCCCCTGGGGGGGTGACTTTTCACTGTCTGTCTCTGGTGAGTGCACACATCCTATAGCCAAAATCTCTCTTCAAAAAAAAAAAAAATTCTTTATTTAATTTTGTTGTTATTATTATTGTTTTTTTTTTAATTTGCTACAAGGTATGTGTGCTCATCAAAGACAGAGAGAGAGAGAGAGAGACAGACAGACAGACAGATAGACAGAGACAGAGAAAGTGAGAAAGCAAGCTACTGCTCTGGGACTCAAACCATAGTTGGCCATGTGGGAGTCCAGCACCTTAGCCAACACACCACCTGCCGGCCCCTACGTTTGTTTGCTTCATCTCTGGAGTTTGTCTGTTTCTGTTTGAAAAGTCTTTTCACGGCTCCAGGTAGGCCCCTCCATTGTCAGCTCAGAGAGCGACTTGTCCCAGACCACGCAGGGAGCTTCGGGCAGGTGGACAGGTGCAAGCAGCCTATGCACAGAGTGGGGTGTTATTCCACATTAGCGAGGAGGACATTCTGACACACGCTTCAACACGGAGGCGCCCTGAAGGACACACACGCGTGATTCTACTCGCATGCGGAACCCAGAAGAGCCACCAGCATAAAGACAGGAAGTAGAAGGGCAGGTGGCAGGGGGAGGCAAGTGAGAAGCTGGTGCGCTTCCTGGGACAGCCTCGGTTCTGCAAGATGAAAACAACTCTGGAGGTGGAGGGGGTGACAGTTGTTAACGATGCCAATGGACTTAACCGTGGCTCCAATGATACATTTCTGCTCTGTATATTTCACCACAATACAAAAATGGGGAGGAAAAAAAAAAGTAGTGAGCTCACTGAGGTCCAGGGCCTCACTGGGGAAGCAAAGGAACCCCAGGGAGGGCAGTGGGGTCTGGCCCGGGGAGCAGACGGTAGCTGTGTCCACCTGTCCGTACAGCAGGGGACGTGGCATGCAGCTAGCGTGCTTTCATGTGACGACTACCCAGTCCAGAAACATGGCCGGTGTGTCGCTCTCTCCACGGCACGAGGTTCAGGCCGCAGCCCGGGAGGCCCTCAGGCCTGGCGGCGGCTGCTCTATTCAGTAAAAAATCTGGATAGGTGAATTTTGCCTTCTAGCCTTTAAAAACATTTCTGTTCCTCTGGTTTTAATTTTCACTACCCTCCCATCCGACTCTCGTTTTCACTACTGTGGGTAGAGAGCTTTCTACAAAGCAGCACATCCTTCTTTTTTTTTTTTTTTTTTAAGTGAGATTTTTGCAATCAGGCGCATGTACTTGCCAGAGAGACAGAAAGTAAGAAATCAGAGGGATGCCCATGCCACAATCCCTTCTCCTCCATTGTCCACTTGGGATTTGGGGCACACCTGCACATGTACCCAGAGTGTTTTTTATTTATTTATTTTTTAAGAGTTTTTTGCTGTAGGGCACATGCACTCACTATCAAGACAGCAAGAGCTAGACAGAAAGTGAGAAATCACCCCCTGGGGGGGATGGCCATGCTGCAATCCCTTCTCCTCCATTCTCCTCTCTGGAACTTGGGCATGCACGCACACGCTCCCGGCCTGAGTTTAAGCTGCCGGGTCCAGGACTCGAACCGCGGTCGACTACGTGGGATTCCAGCAATGTAGCCGTTATGCCATCTGCTGGTCTCGCCAGTGTAAGCTTTAAGCTCCTAGGTCTGGGACTTGAACTGTGGTCAATTACATGAGAGTCCAGCAACATAACCATTAATGCCATCTGCTGGTCCTGGCTTACTTTCCAAATGGAAACTAAGAAGCCTGTCTGACCAGTCCATGCGGGGTCCACTAGACAGGCCTGGGCCCAACACCCCCCAGCTTGTCTCTGGGCCTCCGGGCCTCCGGGCTGCTGTTGAGCATTTTCCTTCCCCTCTCCTCGTGACTGGTCACCATTCTCCCGTTTTTCAGAATGGCCCTTCTTGCTGTCTTCTACATAGTTTGCTTTGGATAGGAAGGCTCAGCAAACTCATTGGCATTGTACTGGGTCATCGTTAAAGTCATTTCGCGTTCTTCTATGCAAAAATGCATCATGACTTTTCTGATGGCCCAGTATCTAAAATGGGGCCAGGTGGTGGCACCGCGTGGGAAGGTCCTGGGCTCAGATCCTGAGCCTCCCTGGGCACACGGGGCATGCAGGCGTGTTATCCGGGCTGGTTGCGGTGAATGGCGATGGGAAGACCCTGTTGGGATAGCCCTATCTCTCTCACATGGAAGAAATAAATAAACTTAAAAAGAGAATCGTCTCTAAAGAATTGAGGGGTTCTGGATAAGGGCCCAAAGATCTTGCCCGGGGCAAGGAATCTAGCTTCACTTTTAAGTGGTGTCACCCTCCCCTCATCTCTTTCCTTCTCGAATCTCAGTGATATGGCGATGTTACATGTGTGTGCACACACGTGTGTGTGTGTGTGTGACAGTATGTGGCACTCTGGCTTCTTAAGCCCCTGGGATCTGAAAGAGCTTTGCAGACAGACTGTCTCCAGTGAGTTCCTTCAAGGCTGGAAATGCAGCCTGTCTAGGCGCGGCTGTGGGAACTGAGTCAGGAAGGCTCACAGAGGAACACGAGGCCCAGTGAGCCCTAACAACCCTGATTCTCAGATGGATGGTCCCTGCCGTTCCCGGGACAAGGGCAGGGGACAGCAGGGACCAGACAACGTGCTCAGACCCCAGGCTGCTCAGCTCAGGCCTGGAGACCTCCCATCACGGGCAGGCTCTAGGGTGCACCTGCTCCCTCAGGGCCCCACATCGGGACCATGGTCATTCTAATAACTAGTGACGAGGTGTCTACACGGACTCTGGCTCAGCCTGTGTGGGAGCGGGGAGGAGGGGCTGATAAATATCAGCGTTAGAGAGGGGAGGAAAGGGAGGTCGCCGGGTGATGGCCAGGAGCCTGGGGGGTGGCTGTCGCTGGAGGCTATTCAGAGGGGAGACTAGAACACCCTGGCCTGCCTGCTCAGACGGCAGACAGCAGTCGCCCCAGCCACGCTCCCTCCTGCAGAACACCTACTGTGCACAGGGCAACGGGCTGTCCCTGGTGTGGCCTCAGCTCACACAGAAGGAAACTGAGACCCCACCCTCCCCCCCCACCACCACCCAGGGTGGCTTGGC